AAAATTTGTATAATATAAAGGAAAAGCTTCTTTGTTATTATAAGCATATCGTTGTTGTGTAAACGTATACCCTAAGACAAACTGACCATAACTGTAACAAGGACATTCATTCCAAACCATTCCAAGAGTTTATCTTTTTGTCAAAGCTTCAAACAAGCACAAAATTGCTGCTTTATATTTTTAAGTACAGTCAATCAACTTAAAACTGACTTAAAAAAATGAGTTAAACCTTGTATAACGTGTTGCTTAACTTATTTTGATGAGTTAAAGCAATGTTAAAACACATGTTGTCATAACTTATAATTTTTCAGTGTAAAATAGTGAATTTTATTTGGCATTCAACGTTAATGGATCTTATTCGCCAGGCTGATATTCAAACGCCTGTAAATTTAGGTTTGTAGAGACCATGTGTTTTTCATTCGAAACCTTTTTCATTTCTCCCTAAAGCAATGGTCATTGCATAGTAGATATTGTACTTTCATGAAATACATAAATCCAAGTTTAAATGGCAGTTCCAGCAGAATCAGAGCCAAGTGATAGCAAAAACACATGCAAGTGCAAGTGGTTTTGTGATAAGCAGATGTTTTTAATCTGACCTAAAAGCACAGTTGACTGAAAATGTAATTCTACCAAAGGTGTCATAGCATAACTGCATAGTGATGCTATTAGGTAATTAAAGAATCAAAGGCCACAACAAAGTTTGCTAATATTAGATGGTGAGGAAATGCTTTGAAAAAAAAAAGAAATAGCTATTTGTTATGAAAAAGGTTTTTAAAAAGGGTCTGTGAGACAACAGAGTCTTCATATGGAATTTAAAATGATTTATAATGATATAAGCACTCAGCTGTTAGAATTCTTAAGTTAGAGTTGAAGATCACGTTCAGACTTTTAGAGTGCTATTTTTTACCAAGTAAATCTATCTGGTCCAATGGGTCATAGTTTGAATGGTGAAATTCATCTGTGCACCTGCACAAAACACACTGGAATGTAACATACACTCTCTCCTGAGCTTTCAGACTTAAATTACACCTAACAACTCTGCCAGTGGAAAAATCCTTTTCTATTTCCTTTTTGAAAAGCAACAGTCAATTTATGAAGTGTTGCATGAATCATAGCTACAAGACTGAAAGCAAGCAGTGGGTGCTCTCTTACTGTAAAAGTCAATGTACATATATTTCCAAAAGAGCAGACTTGCACATTATATAAATTGCACATGATAGAGACATTAACGAGGGAACAATTTAACTTCACTCCCATCAAAAACAATAACTGCTAATCAGCTTATATGTATATATATATGTGTGTGTGTGTGTGTGTGTGATTAAGTTATTCAAAAATTATGAAAACAGTCTATCAACGTATTACAAAACATAAATCAGCTGCAAAATATGGGTTCCATTCCACAAAAGGGTGTTTATATTGTGTTTATTATAGTAATTGCAATAACTGGGTAATAACTAATCTAATGGGTAAAGTACTAATCCTGAACCTACACCTAAACCCTGTAGTTTCCTTATATTACCCAGTACTTTCTTGGGTATGTACACGGTCAGTAAACGCACTATAAAATAAAGTGCAACCAAAAAAAAAAAGTTATTTATGTTAAATCATTTTATTTAGTATTTTAGGAGAAGATCATTTGTAACTACATGTTTAAATGCATGAAAAAGGCATGAAAAAAGTTGAAGTAAAGGAAATAATAATTAGAAAGAAAATGTAAACGAATTAATTAATTAGGGGGGAAAAGCAGAAATCAGAAAACATCCAACCCCCATAAACTCCACCCCAAAGTGCTATCCAGTGGTAAAAGCAGGCGATGAAGATATGTTTAACATAATAATAACAAGCTTGCAGAAAATAAATAAAAGGGGACTAAACTTTTTGAAATTAATTTTGTTCCAGAAGTTGTGTAATATTGGACATAGCAATAGACAGGTTAGCATTTCAAAATTGACATTTGTCACATAATGGAGACAATTTACACTTGGAATAATGAAGCCTATGAAGCACTTTAACTGAATAAGACAGACAGTGTCTTAATGGTAGAAAAGTTCAAGAGTGCGTTCCCATATTTCAATAGGAATTTCTACTGCTCCTCTTCCCAGGCATTAATTTTCTTTATAGAAAGGAATTTTCACCTGTTCTAAAGCCTTGTATAAATAGGAGAAAGTACTACCATCTCTATGACATCTTTCCAAAATCTCATCAAAATACATAATTATAGCAGTGACATTTGGAATATAAGACTTCACAAAGTCTGAAATTATTCGAAGGGATATTATATTTCTCACACAGCTGTTGAAAGGAAGTCAATTTTCCATTCACATATAAACCCCCTTTTTTTCATAAACCTATATATTTTTTTCTTTCAAATCTCAAATGCATTGTCTAACATAGAAGGGCAAAAGGAGGGGTTAGCTGAGATAGAGAGCAAAAACAACAACATACGTCTTAACTGTTTTCAAATACAAATAGAATTATGAATAACAGGGTTGTGATGATAAAGTGAACTAGCTATACCTGTGGGTGACAAAAGTATAGCATTGACATTCCTTCTGTTCCAACACCAGCCAAATATGGTTCTTTTAAAACAAGATACATTTACTCAAGAACCAAAATGACTTAATATCTTAAGTTTTGTTTGGAATAAAAAAAAACCAAAGTGATAAATAAATAAAAAATCTAATAATGGGGTAAATAACATTCAACTAGCTCTAGCGTCTTCGCACATAAACACTACTTATGTTAGAATGTTTATAAACGGAATATTCGCAGTTCAGATAAATCATGTGTTGAGGTATTGGAAAGGTCATCACTGCCGGTAGTGATTTCATGAACCACGTCCTACGTGAACCAGGTTGATTTGCACAGTGGGAGGATATACAGTGTTCCCAAAAGTGTTTGGACAGTAAATCACACTTAAAAATGTCAAAACAAAGGACATTTTCTCATGATTAACCAAGTTGGCTTCAAGGTAAATTTTATAGGATGTATAAGTCCAAAAGTTGTTTTAGCAAAGTAAACACAAGTGTAATTCACAATTTATCTATACTAATACCAATGAACAGTATGTTTTCTAATTTAAAAGTTTAAAAAAATGGTTGGACTTGAAAGGCGTGCTTATCAAAACTATTTACATTGAAGTAAGATTGACTCAACTGTCCAACTACGTTTTAGGGGTACTGTGTCTTATACCTCACCTTAACTTAAAGAGTTTTTATAATACAATATTCTTAATTTGACATCTACAAAAAAGGCTACATAACTTTACAAAGCTGTATGAGAAAGAAAGACCTGAGGGACAACAGGCTAATACCGTGCAATATGTAATTTTCAAGCAGAATCAAATACACTCATATGAAATTTAACAAGCTAGAACATGTATGCTGGCTTGTTAAAAAAAAGTAAATTCAGAACAGCTGGTTTGCAAAAGTTCACTGGATCAAGTTGCTCTGCTATCCGCTATTTTAGTCTGCCATGCAAACAGTGACTGTCCAATGCAAGCCTTAACACAAAGACAACGGCACAGCACTGATACACATTAAATCATCTTAAATCCATCACAATCAAATACACATTCTCACTAATCAAACAGAGGTAATTACCAAACTTATTTAAAATGAATAAAAATAAAAGAATAAAAGAAAAGAAAAATACAGACATAATGCAAACTTACTGATTGGATTGCTTTTTTTCAAACCATTTGTCCAAGGCTTTTCTAATTCCAAGTACTGTATGAGTAATAGGAGGATACAAACTAGGATTTTTCTTTCTTTTCTTTCTCTCCGAAGTTCCCCCAGTTCTCACATTCAGGCACAGTAAGCTGATGTAAGACACCGCTGGATGAAGGGAAAAAAGAGAGCGAGAGAGAGAGAGAGAGAGAGAGAGAGAGAGAGAGAGAGAGAGAGAGAGAGAGAGAGAGAGAGAGAGAGAGAGAGAGAGAGAGAGAGAGAGAGAGAGAGAGGCTAAAAAACTAACATTCTGGAGATTCTTGGGAAAATGCCAAAGTCCCAGAATTCTTTCTGCCATGCAGAAGGTTTCAATTAAGTCAGACTCCTGTGACCAATCAGAGAAGATTTTCTTGAATATTCTTTTTTTAAGTAGTCCAAAAGCACGTACAATTAAATAAATATAATAAATAATAATTCAGAATTGAAGTAATAAGTGACAAGAACAGAAAGTATTAAGTTTATGTCATGTTCATTTAATCTGTTATTGTGTTGGAGCTCTCTAATGTTAGTAGGAGGAGGTAGTCATAAAAAATGTATCGAAAAGCAGTGAATGTATGTTTATTTGCATTTATCTTGCAAACTGTTATATGCAAGCCTTTTTATAAAAACTATTAACTAATTTGAGAACTATAGGGTAAGGTGTAGGCTACCTCGGTTAGTTCTGGTTGTAACTCTGAAATTGTTCATCAATTGAGTTTCATATAATAAGAGGGATTTAAAATACCATTATCTTTTAGACTATTAAAAAAAATGTGATTATTAGGTATACTTCTTTTAATTTAGTTTGCCTTCCCCTTTAAATTTCTCCCCCATCTCTATAGTGGAAAATCAATCTGCAAGATAATGAGAAAAGCAGTCCCAACTTTTTTTCTTCACCATTAGCTTTGGCTAGGGACAGGATACTCAATAATAATTTATAGATGGAAAACTGATACAGAACTACAGTTATAAAAGAAAATGTGTGTAATAAGAATTCGAAACTTCTCCACTTATCTAAAGAAACAGTCTTACTACTACTGACATGGCCTGATATGGTTACCATTAAAAAGCAAACTCAAAGTCAAAATCACAAATGACCAAAACCGTTATTGTTTTGAAATATTATTATTATTTTTTTCTTCATCAGAGGGGGATGAAACTTGGTGACTTTTGTTGTGACATGGCCTGATATGGATACCGCTAAAAAGCAAATATTTTACCATAATTAAAAGCCTAAAGAATGGACTCGAAATGACTTCTCACTATCTAAAGTCAGCACAATGCACTAACCTTCTACATGGCTAGATGTTCCTCCACAAATGCACAAAAGTGACTGAATACGAAGAGGACATTCAAGTCACAGATCGCCAAACCCATCAACATCACAAAACTTAAGTTGATCCCAATTGGCTTTATGCACATGCAGCTGCACTACTTCCTGAACTGTCTTCCATTATTGGACAAATTGATTAATTCAGGTGTGATTGACCTCAGTAGTCACGGCAAAAATAATCAGACACACCTGAATTAATCAAGCTTGGCCAATAATGGCAGACAGGAAACAAGGAGCTGGCTTAAGTTCAGGAAGTAGTTCAGCTGTGCATAAAGCCAATTCCCAAACCATCAACATTTGTGCGAGCGACCTCAATTTTAAATCTGAAAGGCCTTTCGTTTAAAACAACTCCTTGATTCCAACACTGTACATTCATTTGCAAAGGATTTCCTTTCGAATTTCCCAGTCACAAGCGTTGTGGGTTTTATAAACATGATTGAGATCGCTGCATCTATTATACAGGTGATTAGTTTAAACAAATACCTTTGAAAATATGTTTTTCATTTCTCTATTGAGCTTTTTTGCATTAGTGTACACAGAAATAATCTCAGAATTCATGGAATGAAGTGGCAAAAATAATAAATAAAAAATCCTTTCATTGCCAATATAAAGCAATGCAAGTCTAAGAATTCCCAAAAAATATTACTTGTACTCGAATTGGGGTGGGGAATCACGCTTAAGAGATTTTGAAATATGCCTGTTTATACTAATCACTCTTCAATCTAAAAGTAAAAGTCAATACGAAAATTGAAGCAATGTGGACATTTCAATTTTCTCCAAAAAAGTAAACAAACAAATGAATCTTTCAACAAGATAAATTATTTAATACATGGATATGCACAAGTAAACTAACTTGGATGATGCAGACAAAGGCTAATTGGGAAGTGAGAGAAGAGAAGTGCTAAAGACTGCAAGTGAGATAGAAAGAGTAAGTGTCTCAGTGAGTGCACACTTTCTAAAGCAGAAAGAGACTCCAACCAATCAGAACATCACTCATAAACCATGTGCTGGAAAGTCTGATGCAATGTCACATTCTCACTCACTTTTTCTGGTCGAAAAGCATACCTGTTAAAAACAGACATTCACTTTGGTTTGTGTAGTTTTCACATGTATCTATATTTTGTAAAAGAATCGTAGCAGTGTCCATTCATTCATGCAACCTGCAGTACAGTCTACACCATTGTGTATCATTTGTTTTATAAATTAAACAGCTAAATTCATGTTCCAATTCAAGAAAAAGCACTGCACATTCATATAAAAATAAGTCTTCACAAAATAAATAGTTTGATCATAAAAGGGTTTGATTGTGATTAGCATTCTGCCCCCGTTCCTTCAATTTATTGTACAATAATTTCACAGTTTCCTCCACCCTGGCAGGAAGTGAGATGAAGATGATAAAGAGATCAAGAGTTTTCATTTTGGTTAGAAGTGCAGCAGCCGGCTGTATGTTCACAGGCCGTTCTTTGTGAGTTCATGGACGCCTTTCTCATCAATGACCAGAGTGGATTGGAAAGCTTGCCCATTCACAAGATGCTCCAACCCCTTTGGAATCAAGAGAGACTATTAACTCCTCATTTTTTAAAATAGAAACTTGCAAGTAGAGTATATGGCTTAGAATATGTATTTTTCCCATTTGCACCTAAACCATATATCAGGGTAAAGTTATTCTGGGATTATTTCTCTTACCTCACCACCATAGGACACAAGAGGAGAGATCTCACACTTGATTGGCAGGTCTGTTCCATCCTTCAGGCTGTGATCAGCAGAGCACCAAAATGGGTTATATATATATATATATATATATATATATATATATATGTATAACCCAAAATGGGTTTTATATATATATATATATATATATATACACACACACACACACACATTAACATGTCTATATATATATATATATATATATATATATATATATATATAAATAATGTATTAATGACTAAACCAGATCAAGCATTAATCATGTCATATATGATATAAAATGATTTTAGAAAATTAGACACTTCATTTCAATTAAAAAAAAATTTAAATGTTAGACTTACCCTTAAAAACTAAATTAATTTAGACTTCTTAAATAAAAAAAAAATAATAAAAAAAATCCCATTACAAATGCTTCACCCATTTAAACGGCCACAATCACTTTATCCAAAATGCAACCATTTTTAATGCATTTAAATATTCATCATTGAAAATTCTTGATTATAAGCACCGATTATTTGTTATATTGATGAGCAGCCTTGTCCTGTTCAGCATGCCTGATGCCCATTTCCCAACATGCATATTATTCTGCCTGTTAGTAGCTGCTTTTTGGGTCAGAGCCAGTTAAAAGATGCCAACCTTTCCTACGGCCTGTCTGGGATTGGACATCTTCTCCCACTGAGCTCTAACAGCTACACGGAATCTACTAAGAGCGAAGCCCCATCACCATGCATTAAATACGACAGTGAGAATAGTTACTTCTGGCTGACTTCAGGAGTGACTGTCCCTGCTGGTCCATGTCTAGAAATGTTACACAGGAAATATAGTGTGGTTACACTAGAACTGAAGATAAATTGGAGTTAAAATGAACACAGGATATGTTTGAAACAATAAAAGAGTGGACTGGAGACAATCTAGGTTGAAGTAAAATATTAAAATAATCCTGTTGGCCTGTTTCCACATGGATTAGAGCTGTGTGAGGATTCTTCCGAAATTCTCATTTTGTGTTCCATGGGGGAAAATATGACAACATAGAGTTTAAAAACAACTCCAAAGTGGATAAATACTGACAGAATTATCATTCCTGAGTGTTTGTCTCACCTGGGTATAGCAGGTATGCGGGTTCCATTCTCATCAACGAAATGCCCTCCTGCATTTAAGATCCAGCGGTGATGCAGGGACATGAGGGCGTGACGGGCTGTAGTGGGGTTGTCCTTCCCATCCTGACTGTCTGCATTCTTCAATGGAGAAAACTCATCTTCTCTTAGAACTTCATATACCACAAACTTTCTGTCATGCACACACACAAAAATAAAAATAAATAAGTTCAAACTAATTGAACATGCCTGAAGCAATATGTATTGTGTCAATCATTTTCAATCAATTACAGCTTTCACGTGACGTCGTCACTCCCTTACAGTTTTGCCCTCCTGGAGGGACTTTCCTCCATAGAGTGGTGCAGGGATGACATCAAAACCTGGAAGACTAATTCGCTACTGGTTCCCTTGAGATTTTCCTATGGGGTTTTATAAAGGGTTTTTTCAGTTTATGAGTAAAATAAAGCCTGTGGTAAACATAACTTTGACACTTTGTTCTACAAAAAACTTCACACACTCACCACAAACTGTCTTATCTATTTACTTATTAGAAACATACATTCAAACATATAATAAGCTGCTTCATTAAATTTTAAATGCTTCAAAATTAACATTTTTGCTATGGGTGTGTGTAATTTACATTGAAGAACAAAACGCCAAAGAATCATAAAGTTAAGTTTATCACTAACAGGCTCTCTTTTTCTCAAAAAAAAAAAAAAAAAAAAAAAAAAAAATCATAAAACTCCACAGGAAATTCTCGAGGGTACCAGTGGCAAATTAGACTTCCGGGTTTTGATGTCATCCCTGAACCACTTAAAAAAATAAATAAAAATCGCTGGCAGCCTAATCCAAACGCCATGAAAAAGACGATTGCATATTATATAAAAGTGTTTGAAAGTGTTTGAAAGTGTTTGATATTTTTATTTGATTTTGACAATTTAAAGTCAGTTAAGTAGATATAATTTTATCTACTTTAGCACGGCGAAAAGATTAGTTTGTCATTGTTTTGCACGTCACAAGTAAGTCTCGAGTCTTGGCATTCAAGTCCCAATTAAGTCAAGTCCTGAATCAATGCTTTTAAAATATATGTTATGTTCATGACTTTGCAGTTCAATTTCATATTTATAGCGATAAAATTTTCACTAAGGCCAGTCATCTATATCAGTTCAGTTTAGGGATTGTTCTTGCGTGTGAAAAAATAAGGAAAAGGCAGGAAAAAGAATTTTTTTATTGGTTACCCAGTAAAAGTAAGATTTTCTATTAAAATCATTTAATAGAAATAACTGCTGCACATTTTGTATGTGTGTGAGAGAGAATGAGTCTATGAGTGTATTCCAAACCATTCTTTGGAACCTAAAATAAACCGAAGAAAAAAACATCTGTGAGAAACACAGATGCATAACAAATAACTGCTACTATACCACATTTTACAAACGAGAGAGGAAACAGGCAACATGGATGCAGACAAACTCACAAAGACAGTCATTTAAAAATACTGTGTTACTTAATACTAAAACAGAGTCAATGTGAGTGAAATTAATTGCTCATTGGGAAAACTAATCATGTTTTGCTACACATTAAATTTAAAATATTGAGTCCCTGGTTAAATTTTGTTAACACGACAGTAATGGTAGAACATTCGCATTTCCATGGCGACGCATCAAGTAACACTTTTTGGGGCTACGTGCCTGTCATTTACAAAACGTAAATCCACCGATTTCTCCCGAAAGACATGAAAGTGAATGGCTGGTGAACAGAGGACTTTATAGTTACTTTATATAGGGGGAGTGGAGACATGTCTCAAAATTAGATTTGAAAGGTTTATTATTTATTTCCGCTTACTAAGACATCAGTGTGTTTTTTTCTCAAATAATAAATGGTTTGCTAGTAGGCTACTTATGTATTTAAATGCCTGAAGAAAAAAAAAAAAAACTTATTTGGTTGATAACGGTCTGAATGTGTGTTCATAAATGACAACGGACCAGCGCTGCTGAATGCACTCTATCAAGCGCTCTCTGGCTCAGTGCCAAACATGTGAAAGCAAGTCATTGTTGTCATCCAGCAAGTCATTGTTGTCAGTCTAAGTAGAGTCGCAAATAATCTTTGATTATGTCAAGTCGAGTCGCAAGTTATCAAGTTTGGGACTCGAGTCCACGTCATGCGACTCGAGTCCATAACCCTATTTGAACTCGGTCAGTTCACTGAAACATGGGTAAATGAGGAGCAGTCCAGTCAGCAGCACACATACTGAAAACAGGAATTAACAAAAAGTCCTGACACTAACTTGGCAAACTGGAATATGTCGAAGACAAATTTTTCCATCTTAATC